TTTTTAATGTGGAAAATCCTGATCTTCTGTATAATATATAAGCTGTATAATTCTATTGAGCTGTCTGTTGAGGTCAGAAGCAATTATGAGGCCCTACTGTTTGAGAAGTATTATGGTCCTAAAAGTAAGGAGATAGTTCAACTTGGAGGTTTGAACAATAATTATTTAGTTGGATAACAAATTACAGGTAGTTCTTGACTTACAACAGTTCATTTAGCGATAGTTCGATACTATTAAAAAATCTTTATCTAACAATAAATGAATTCTTAAGATTATATCAAATTTAAAAATTGAACTGGCAGAGTTTCTGTATGGATATTTTGGATGAATTATTAAGATCTCATTTGTTACAAAATGTAGGACACTGCTTTAATTTACTTGAGTTTCAGGAAGTTCCAATTAAAGGTTAGAAAAGTCTTTATATATTAAATGCAGTTCGAGCTTTCAAGAGATGTTAAAAACAACAATGTAAATTTCCCAGAATGGCTCAGTCAAAAATTCAGGGACACAGAAAATTAGGGGGAAATATATCTGCAAAAAGATTATCATTAGATCTAAAAAAGAAATGCAAGGTGAAAACATGAAGATTCATAACTTTGATTTTTCAGACCGAATCCAGAAAAAAATGACAATTGTCTTAATGTATGCACTGAATGATAATAACATTAAGTTTTATTAAAGACATTTCAGTGACTTCTTGAAATTGCAGAGAGGTATCTTAATCCTTGGAGATATGAATATTTTCATTTATTTAAATATGGTTAGATTTATTTCACCCAAAAGGAGTAGCAACCAATTCCCCCAAAATGTTCTAGCTAACCTGTTATGTCTCTTGGACATGGAGGAACAAACATTTCAAAGAGAGACATCCAATTATTTTGAGGGCTCCATAACTAACATTTAACATCCTTTAACTTTCCTTTGTCTATTATTCCTGTTTAACTCTTTTTATAAAGTTGTTTAAGTGTGTCAATGATAATAATTTTAGATATATATTGTTTTAGTTTTACGCAATCCAGAGTGAGATAGGTGAATAAAATAGGTAAATAAATAAATAAAAATTCTTCTGTTCCTAAAACTTATTCAAGGGTAGGCAAATGCTGGATTTCTAATTCACTGTTAACCAATCTTTTAGATGTGGAAGTGTCAGTAGGAAGTCATACTGATCATAAACAATAATTGTTAGACTATATAAAGGAAATTCCAAACCCAAAAGATGGAATGCGCAGTGAATGTTTATTATTATAAGAAGATATTATTCTCTAGTGTTATCAGGAACCAAACAGCTTCTTCCAAATCAGTGTAATTTCTGATGTTTCTTTATCTACAGTATGGGATGCTAGCAAAGCATTTATGAGAGGTCTGTTTATCTCTCAGGCATTAAATAAAGAGAAAGCCATACAGAAACAGAAAGATATACTGCTGAATTATCTGAAATAATTAGAACCAAGGCATATACTCAATCCAATTTTGGATTTAGAACAAAAGATAAAAGCATTACAGAAATACTAAATTTGATTCAAGTAAATTAAATTTATAACAGAAACACTTAGAAAAAGACAACATGTTATTGATTTATCCATTGCATAAGGAAGAGGGCAAAAGAACTATTGCTTCGCTTTGATTTGACACTAAATATGTTTCTGCAGTGAAGCAGATAATAGAGCAGCTTAAGTATTGTCCCAAATTATATGGTAAAGTTATCTGATCTAGAAAATATTGAAGAATAACTGAGTAAGAGATTATTTACAAAATGTACAGATCAATAAAAAGAAGCCCTTAGTTGTCAGCCCTTAAAGGTAGATCAGATTCAGAAACCAAAGTTATGAATGCTAATACTACTTTTATTATAAGAATACAGTAACAGAATCTTGCAAATCTGATAATGTGCTTTCCCTCCCACTCTTTGAAAAGACAAGTCTGAGGTGCTTTCTCAAATTACATTTTTGCCTTGTACTTAAATTTCTTTGATCTGATCATTAGTTTGATTGCAGCTCTTCCTTCTATTCTTCAAGGTTATTCCTGTTTCCCTTTACATCAGTCAACCCATAACTGAAAACCAAAGTAAAGAAGTAGTATAAATAACAACAACCAGGCTTTAGTAAAGTTAAATTAAATTAAGCTGCAGAATGGTCTGCAAAATACCAGAAGATTTTCCAAGAAATTCTAGCTAAACCTTTAACACAAGTAATGAATGAGATTCAGGAATGTGAAAAATTTACTTTATCATGGAAATAAGCTTTTATCTTATTTATAAAAAAAAGGAAAAGATTCAATTCACCTAGAGTCATTCAGACCTATTTTTATTGAAAGTAGATTTCAAGACTTTTCACACAAATTTTCACAATGAAAATAACTTTTCTTAGCTAAAATGGTCAGATTGGATTTGATCTTAAGAGATATATGAGAGATAATGTACAGTATTAGATTTTGAAGATCAACAAGGTACAGTACATAAAATTAACAAGTTGGCTCTTGCTTGTCCTGATGCAGAAAAGTCTTCAACAATTCAGAAAGGTCTTTTATTCTGCAGTTCTGAAAAAGATGAATTGGCACCCTTATTTTTTCATATAGAATCACAGTACTTATAAAGGACAAAAAGCCAAGTAAAGTGCTGGTATATCACAACAATGCACTATACTGAAGGAGACGGGACAAGGTTTCCTCCTTTCCTTTCCTTTTTAACTGGTTAGAACCATTGACAATGAAAATGAATCAAGAAAATAAAATTCAGAAGTTGAATTAGCGATTTAAAAACATAAACTGAAATTATATATGGATGATATTGTATTTACAGTTACTCAGCTGAAAGACTCCTTGGTATTGTTAATAGAATACACACACACACACACACACACACACACACACACACCCATAGAGCCTTGTTTCTGATTATTGGATTAATTTTTTTAAAAGCCAACTAGTGATTGTGAATCTGGCAGAGGAAGAACAACAATACCTGGGTCAAGTAATGAAGTTTAATGCTACTTGGAAAAAAACAGGTTAAATAATTAGGAATCTATTTGACAAAAAATAATAACAGTAGGAATATAATATACCTGTTTTGTATATTTAGGTTTTGAATACATATATTTTCCTTTCCCCCCTGTTCCCAATTTTGAATGGCGGTTAATGTGCTTACAGAGTTTGCGGGATATACTATTGGATTGTCCTAATCAACACATACATGTAAATGTTACCACTATCCCACAGTCTGATACTAGTGCAGATTATATTTATGAAGTATTGAACTAAACTTCTTTCTCCAAATTCACTGAATATCAGACTCCTGAATGAAATTATATTCATCTATTTCAATTACAGTGTTTAGACTTCATGGCAAAACTGGTCTTAAGTTAAATTACTCTATTATATGCTATAAATATCATGTAGAATATGAATTATCAAGTATATTTTCTGTTCTTTCTATTTTATTTAGGAAATGTAATACAAGGTTTCTAGTCTATTCTACTGAACTTTGTACTCTTAACTTAGTTGAGTTCTACTGCTGTAGAAGCTGATAAATGTGTCTTGTATTAGGATTTTTTGTTTTGTTTCATTCCTGATTAGCAAAATTCAGGAAGGGTTTGTTAGTAGAAATTGGGATTGGAATTTTGGTGTTTTGATCAAGTCAAATGTTTGGGAAGGTGCAAGTTCTTGCACAAGTCATAAGTAGTTGAGTTTAATAGCTGTCTGTTAAACAAGTTGTAAAACTCTGCAGAAATCCATAGCAGGAGAAATTTGTCTAAGAGGAGCAGTATATTGTAGTGCTCCATAGACTATAATGCTGAGAGCATATTTATCAAGATTATGAGAGGGCCAGGCCCAATAGATTATAATATTTTGTGTGGGAATTTGTTTTATGAAGAAAAGCTTTTTAATAGGGAAGTAATTTTGTACTCTCTGAGTGTGAAATGTGGAAACTGCTGTATTTATTGCTGCAGGTGAACATTGGCCTTTACAAGAAACTATAGCAAGCCTCATTTGCTGCTCTCACCTACTTATGATCTAAATTAAATCAGCCAATTCAATCTATGGTTTTCAATCCAGAGGCCAGGGTGTACTGGACCAATATAGAAAATACAATAAAAACTGTTGAGGCACATTAAAAACCCTCACAAATTTATAGTCTGACACAAATTTTCAAAGGATCATATTATCCAAGTCATTGTGTTTATGTTTCTTGTGACAAAATGTGGCACAAAACAAACAATTTATGTAGCTATTAAGCTGGAAAGATGTTCAATTAACATCAGATATATTGATTAAATATGTACATAGATAACATTGTTGATTGTTCCATTATTAAAATATGATTGCTGTAATATTAAACAAATGAATTGGTCATGATACCCATTGTTCCACTCCCTGCAATATACTCTCTGTACAGAGGTGCCCGTAATATCAAGTGTGCTTCACACTTCCATCATTCTCTCCCATTAGCTGTTATTTTCAGGGATATTTTGAGATTCCAATTTTCAGTTGTGAACAAGCTGCAACTTCCAGTTTCCATAACCATATATCTAGTCATCTAGATAGTATTGAGATTCCTGTGGAGTTGCAGTATCCTGTTCCTATCTCTGATCACGGCTTGTTTCAGAGAAGCCATAATTTTGAATTCCACATGTGCCATTTCAACCATTGTTCTTCCCCTGCCGTGCTTGACCTGCTTATTTCTGATGTAGCTTACCTACTATGGAGAGGAAAAAAACACAAACCCAGCCTTCCATACCGTTGCATTATCAAACTGAAGACATTGCAGTTATTCATCCAATACTGTATTAAGAAAAGGTAGAAAAGCTTCAGAAGACAAAGATGGCAGCCCTAAAGAGGCACACGCACCATAGTCACTGCTGATTCTGTAGGCCTCATTTATAGTTTGCATTCTTCTGGAAACAGAGGAACAGAATATTCTTTATGCACTTTGAATGGCATTCTGATTGCTTAGGCATTAAGACTTATGAGAGATCTAGATCTGAAGGTCCAAACATGGTTTGAAGTGTGTGTGTGTATATATGTCAGAAACACCTTAAATCAGCTACTGTTTTCTGAAGATCAGGTAGCTGCCCTCAACAGTTGTTGCACAATTTACAGAAAGATTATGTTCCCATCAGGTGTTACGTCTCCAGTTAGATATGCCTTAAATCACATTTTCCCCTTCAAGTACTGAGATCCTCACAGCCAGTGGTAGGATTCCATTTTTTTTTTACTACCGGTTCTGTGGGCGTGGCTTGGTGGGCGTGGCAGGGGAAGGATACTGTAAATTCTCCAGTCAGAGGTGGTATTTGCCGGTTCTCTGAACTACTCAAAATTTCTGCTACCGGTTCTCCAGAACTGGTCAGAACCTGCTGAATACCACCTCTGCACACAGCCCTAGTAGGTCTTTATTTGTCCTGGAAAAATCCACAACCACTAAGTGGCAGCAAAGAATTCAGATTTTTTTGTTTCTGTATCTTTTTTCTGGCATCTAATTGTCCCCCAGTTTTTTGAAGCCCTGATGTGTGATATGACAAGACATGAAAAAGAGAGGTGTAATGGGCAACAGCTACAACACAGATGTGGCACAAAACAATTAATTAACTATTAATTTAACATTTCTGAATGATACCCAAGAAATCACTAGCTTTCCTTTAAAACATCCAATTCAGCTGAGAAATAATTGGTGTGAGTGAAATTTATTAATATTTTACTAGAGGTTGCCTTAAAGTGCTCTTTTTAGAAAAGAACTGAAGATAATGTTAAGCTTATATATACTTTTTTCATAGTCCACATGGTCAAAAAATATAGCCTTTGTCATCCCAATCCCTTGGATATGAATCTTTTTTTTCCTGTATAGAGGTATATACTGAGCATGTTTGAGACATGGTCTGCCCTACTTTTGGATTCGCTTCCTTTTTGTAACTGCTAATAAACACAGTGCTGGAAACACCTTGTGACATTTATTTACACATGTTTATGTTATCCTTACCCTTCAAAGCTGGTACGGTATGTGTTTAGCAGCTGTGAGCTAAGTCATTTTCCCGCTGCAGTGTGGCTTTAAACAGGTGTCTCTTCTATCCAGCATAGAAATAAAACCAGCAGCCTTCATTGTCTTAATTTTGGATGGCATTTCCTCGACTCCTATCACATCAACTACTCGTCAGGAAACAAATCTACTTAGCAAATAAGATGCCAAATAGTCATAGCTCTCCAATAGCCACACTGAGCTTCAACCTCATCTTGCAACTAGAAGAACTTTATTATTTGTAGGTCAAATGGCTTAGAGACGAAAAAATAATTTAAAGCCACCTCCATGAATAATGCTAATCAAAATATGGTTTAATTTTGACCTATTACCATGTGTGAAACCATTCCAACAAACTGCCTGATTACTAAATTAAAATAGCTTTATTCTGCATTTATTTATACAGCTGATATGTCATTCTAAACCAAAAAAACCAAATAAATAATGGAATAGCATTACACAAAAAGCAGTTCAAAGAGTTGTCTTTTTTCCCTGATATTAATTTAACCTACTCTGGTATATGGTTGCCTGATCTCCACACCAGAGTGATTTTTTCATTGCATTACAATAGATACGATGCTAAGTTCTTTCCAGGGCTTATACTAGGGAGAAGTTAGACTGGAATTTGTTGGTAGATCTGTGATTATCAGTGGATCACTTGATTTCCAACTCCAAATCTTTTAAAAGTAAGCACAATTATCTATAGTATGGTTTGTTTGGATTTGCCTGAAAGATGAATTTATTCAAAATCAATAATTTATTTTTAAAAGTTGTTTTATGATGAATGTTTATTTTCCTTCATGTTTTATGGAAGTGATCACATTATAATTAAAAATGAGTGGTAAATGTACAACAAATCCATTGATTTATTGAGCAACCATGGGAAATACTCTGCAGCAGAAGATTATTTTGAAAAGAGGATTTTTTATCCATTAGGGCCCCACATACTGCCTTTATGACTCAGTTTTGTTTTTTCATCCATATTTTACTGTAGAGTAGTAGTAGTTCATCAGATAAAGCCATGGTAAAATCAACTAAAAGTCCATGATACACAAACCTTAAGGTTCACAATAACTATTATGGAACCTTAGACTATATTTTTATATGGCGTGAAATGAAAGAATGTGCTAAAAAGATATTTATCTATCCTAAACTTTTGGTACCTTTTCTTTCTGTAATTTAAAGACCTTCAGTTTTATTTAACTTTATAATGCAAAAACAATGTAGGAATGTTTTAAAGTATGGTTATTTTTAATCACTCTATTAATATTTTTAGGAATATGTATGAAATCATCATATCCATATGATATTTCTTTCCCCAAAAGAATAACTAAAATCAACTACTGCTATTTAATTTAGGTTATATCTGCATCAACAGTAATGAACAACATTCACTAACCCACAGGATTAGTTTTATGTAAGATAGTGTGGTTTTTTTTCATGCCACTACACCTATAAGAAAAGACTGCCCAGATAATTAAGACAAAAGGGTAGAGTTTGCATTGTGACTTCGCAATACATATTTTATCACTCTGGTGGCAAGATCTTGATATTTTGATGGGTGATATTTTAGAACAGTCATTTTTGAGAAGTATCTATTTTTTATTTCTGCAGCATATGCTTATTTTCTGTCTGTATAGGATACATTTTGTTTTACAGAATAGTCTCTAGTAGTACTGCATTAAAAAGGTCCTTTGGCAGGTTTTGAAATTTTGCAAATGATATCTACTAGATGTGGAAAACATTTTATTACATATCTGGGAAATAAAAGGATTAAGAAAAGTATGGAGAAATTTTGCATCTTCTCTCTTAAATTGGTAATTCTACAGGTATAATAGCGGGGCATTATATTCCATTTTTTATTCTTCTCAATCCAATAGAATGATAGAAAGAAATTATTTATAAGAAAAGTTGTTTAGGACTTTGTCTACTAGTAAGACAAGTCTCCAAAAACTGAACAGAACAGAACCAAATTTTGAAAGAGCAAAGAAACCAGCATAAGAAACCAGCATTCTTCCAAGTTGGAAAATGCAATGGATCAGTCTGAGGGCAGTACAGAAAAACATCTTGTGGAAAATATCCCCAGTACATTCAGTGAGAATGAATGAGTTGGCTCAGGAACATAAGCAGGGGTGGGATTCTACAGGTTTGCACCTATTTGCTAGAACCGGTTGTTAACATTCTAAGCAGTTCAGAGAACCGGTTGTTAGAAGAAATTACTGGCCTAATCCTGTAAGGAAGGCAGGAAGAAAACATTCTGGTGTTGCTTACTTTGCCTCTCCTTTAACTCTTATTACATTCTTGGCAGGACTAGACTTCCTGTCTCTGGAACTTCTCTGGAGTTTTTTTTTCCTCCTTTGCTGGTACTTTGCTTTTGTGGAGTGACCATTCAAAGTTACAATGGCAGTGAAAAAAGTGACTTATGATCATTTTTCACACTTATGACTGTTGCAGCATCCCCACAGTCATGAGAGGCCAGGTGAGGAGATGCGTGCCTCGATGTGAGTGATGTTGAGTTGGCCACGCCCAGCCAGTCACATGACCACCAAGCCCTGCCCACCAACTAAGCCACGCAGAACCAGTTGTTAAAAAATTTGAATCCCACCCCTGAACATAAGTCTTACAGTCTGATATCAAAGTATTTATCATCATGACAGTACAGATGATGTTTATAAAATCGAGCAGTGGATTTTACCTTAGTCACTTCCCATCATCAGTTGCTCATAAGTAAGTTTTATTCTCACCAAATGTAGAGCTGTGTTAAGAGACTGAATGACATAGTCAGAATATACCTGATTCAACACTTACCTCATGATTTACAAAACCATTTTTCTTTTTGAGATCATAGATTATAGAATACTTTATTGGCCAAGTGTGATTGGACACACAAGGAATTTATCTTGGTGTAAATACTCTCAGTATACATAAAAGAAAAGATACATTCGTTAAGAATCAAGAATCATAACGTACAATACTTAATGATAGTCATAGGGTACAATCAGCAATCAAATCACACTAGGAAACAGTCAATATAGATCGTAAGGATACAAGCGACAAATTTACAGTCCTACAATCACAAGTGGGAGGGGATGGGTGATAAGGAGTGATGAGAAGATTAACAGTAATAGTGCAGACTTTGTAAATAGTTGAACAGTGTTGAAGGAATTATTTGTTTAGCAGAGTGATGGCTTTCAGGAAAAAACTGTTCTTGTGTTTAGTTGCTCTGGTGTGCAGTGCTCTATAGTGTCGTTTTGAGGGAAGGAGTTGAAACAGTTTATGTCCAGGATGTGAGGGGTCTGTAAATATTTTCACAGCCCTCTTTTTGACTCGTGCAGTATACAGGTAGAGAGCATTTCACAGAGGCAGCTGTCATCGTCGACTGTCTCCTCAGATTGCAATATAAAAATAAGAGGCTTAGTTGTAATGAATAGAAATCATACTGCAGAACCTAATTAGCACTATATCTAGTAATTTACTTAATTTTCTTTAGCATGATAAGAGTGTTAATTACATTGCAAGTTATGTTGGTATAGTAAGAACTGGTCACATTTCTTTCTTTAAAAATTACAAATTCTGTATTGTCTAAAATCTGGGTTGTGGATCTTCGCATGTACCTTTTGTTAAGAATAACCCATGAACAGACTTATATCTAAATACACTATTCATGTAACATCAGTGCTAATGATTATTACTTGTGGATGAGTGTGTCTTATTGACTTGCTCTGACTGTTTCTGCTTAAGATGTTCCTTTATCACCATCTGAAGTTACCAGAAAAGCCCTCCAGAAAAATTTATTTATTTATTTGGTTTGTCAATTGCTTACAAGATAATAGGTATAAATAAAAACATTGTTATGAATACATGGATACATATAAGAAAAATAAAAAAATAAAAGAAACAATTAGGACAGGGATGGTAGGCAAGTTGGTATGCTTATGCACGCCCCCTACAGGCCTCTTAGGAAAGGGGTGAGGTCAATAGTAGACAGTCTAAGGTTAAAGTTTTTG